TTTCACAAACCTGTGGTCGTGCGTGTTATGTGGGTTGGAAGTCTTATTGCTCTTACAGAGTTGCTACCGCCAATCTCCTTCCCAAACCTAGATTCGGATATTGTAGACATTGCACTTGGGCGAGCAGTATAGATCATCTCTTTATAGATAGAGGGACACACGTCCAGGTTACATAAAAAGTATCTTCTACCTGTTTCAGTAAATCCCTATTCTCTGTGATTGTGATTTCTCTTCCTCTTTGCCCTTCTTTACTAACGTTACCTGAACTTTGGATTTTAACAAACATTTTTGCCAACACATTTGCCTTCTTCTCATCTTTTACTGTTGTTGCGTCTCCATCCCCCAAGATTGGATATCCATACTAACTGTTCATACCATTCATCCTTCTAATCATTTATTTATAACTGTGTGTTTATTGAGTTTTAAACTGTACACTGACACCAAGATTAAACAAAACAACAACAACAACAACAACAACAACAACAAAAACACCAAAAAACAAAAACAAAAAAACAACAACATAGCAGAACGAAACAAAACAGACAAAACAAACAGACAGGCAACCCGGCTCATGAATACAAAGAAATAAGTGGAAAATCCAGACATTTTGATTATGAGATACAATTATCAATACATACATACATACATGTAAAATAGCAGTGATCTGCTTGCATTATACCAAGGACCGTGAGAAAATAACAGAAACATCCAAACCGACATACGCCATAAATATGTCCCATATTTTATGAAACTTTTTGTCCCTACTATGTAGCTTGCATGTTAGGAAATCTAGTGACACATATTCCAATACCGTCCGGTGCCATTGAGTCTTAGATGGGGCCATGTCCGTGATCCAGTTCAAGAGGACACATTTCCTTGCACAGAATGTTAACAGTGCATAGAGCTGCTTTCCAAACTTCCCCCTAATTTTGTCGTTTGCCACTCCAAGTAGCATACACAGTGGATTGCATTCAGTGTCAATGGTGAAGATCTTATCCAATTCACACTGTATGAGGAACCAAAATTGTTGTATTTTCCGGCAGGACCATAGACAGTGCGTGAGGTTGCCCACCTCTATTTTACATTTAGGGCACAGCGGAGAAAGGTCTGAATTGTATTTATGGCGTTGAAGAGGTGATATGTGAGCTCTGTGTAGGATTTTAATTTGGATTGCCTTAACTTTATTACAGACGCTCAGAGATTTAGCATTCTCCCAGACTTTGTCCCATACCTCGTCACTGATCTCTATATTTAATTCCTTTTCCCAAGTCCTCTTCAAATTGGTTGTGTCAGTGACCCCAAATTCTGTTAACAGGCCATAACAAATTTTTATAGAAGTTCTAAGGTTTGGCTGAAATATCTGCTTTTCACATTTAGAGACAGTTTGATTAGTGAGTATTGTTGTAGCCCTCTGTATATGGTCCCTCACTTGTAAATATCTAAAGAAGTCATGCTTATGAATGTTGTATTTACAGATTAGCTGGTCAAAGGACATGAGGTTAGACCCGTCCATTAAGTCAGAAGAGGTAGAAATACCATTCGCAGCCCAGTTCCGAAAGCCGGGGTCAGTGGTCCCGGGCAAAAAAAAAAAGAGGATAATCGGATAAGGGAGTGAAAACAGATGTTAAGTGAGACCTTCCTTCTAGTTTTTGAACCATTCGCCAAGCTTTAACAGTAGATAATGTGAGTGGGTTGCTACAGAACATCGTTAAGGTCTTAAGTTTCCCCACAAAAAGCAAACTTTTCAAAGGAAAGTTAGACATAGAGCTCTCAATATCCAACCAGACAGGAGAAGGCTGTTGTACCCAATCGGCAGCTATACGCATATGGGTGCTCAGCTGATACTTCCTTATATCTGGGAAATCAAGGCCCCCTTTTGAGGATGGAAGACATAACGTAGATATTTTAAGACGAGGTTTCCTCCCTGCCCAAACAAAGGAGCTGAACTAGCCATTTAGAGTTTGGATAGTTTTATGTGGGAAAAGGGTCTGAACCATCTGTATTGGGTAAAGTAGCCTGGGTAGAATAATCATTTTCATAAGAGCGATACGACCGAGCCAGGATAACGGTAAGGACTTCCATCTCTCTAGATCTAATTTGACCTGCTCAAATAGGGGGGTAAAGTTACTTTTATACATCTGTTCAAAGGCGGGAGTGACCCTAATCCCCAGATACGTAAAGCCCTGTGGGGACCAAGTGAAGGGAAATGGAGAAGGGGCCCGTGGTTTTTGTTTCAGGCTGCTCAATGGCATCGCTTCTGATTTATTGAAATTAATTTTATAGCCTGAGATTTCACTAAACTTATCAATAGTTTCAACCAGAGAGGGGATTGATGTTTCCGGCCGAGTCAACACAACAAGTACATCATCACCATACAGAATAATCTTATGGTGTCTTTGTCCAACAGATAGACCATGTATGTCCGCCTGAACTCGTACTGCCTCTGCCAATGGTTCTATGGCTAGGGCAAAGAGCAAAGGGGAAAGGGGGTAGTCTTGTCTGGTTCCCTTCAGTATCCGGAAGTTGGAGGACCGCACCCCATTTGTGAGAACTGCAGAGCAGGGATTGTTATAAAGTAACTTAATCCAGTTTATAAAGTTTCCACTGAAACCCAATTGATGTAGTGTAAAAAAACAGGTAAGACCATTCAACACGGTCAAGTGCCTTCTCGGCATCAAGGGAAATGACCACACCAGGCAGAGATTTTTGTTGGAAGAACTGGATCATATTCAACAAATTACACATGTTATTATATGAATTACGCCCTTTAATGAAACCCGTTTGGTCCTTATTAATAAGCGAGGGGAGTAAAAGTTCCAGACGTTTTGCTAATATCTTGGAGAGGATTTTCAGATCCACATTCAACAAAGAGATTGGCACAATCTTCAGGTAGCTTACCCTTTTTAAGTATAAGGGATATACTGGCTTCCCTTAGAGAACTGGCCAAGAGACCCTTTTTAATCCTTCTAATCATTGACCAAATTGACTGAATTACAAAATCCCCTCCAGAAGTCCCTCTTTGCATTTTTAATGGTTCTTTTTACCTTGGCTTGTAATCTTTTATACTCTGAAAACTGTGATTCTTCTTTAATATCTTAAAAGCCTTATTTCTATGCTTAATCACTTTATCACACTCCTTCCACAAAGCTACAACCTTCTTTTCCCTTCTTTCTTCTTTACCGCCTGGTTTGTTGTCTCTAAGACTGCATTACAGACAGAATAATTTAAATCATCAACCCCTAACATCCATATCAATCTTTTGCATTTCTTAATCACTGCACACCCCCTATATCCTGTTTGTCTACACTCAGCTGTATCTCAGACATTATACAATAATGGAGTGT